TTTTTAGTATAATATTCATATTGAGAGTAAAGTAAGAAATGTCATAATGAACTATGTTGTCGTGTCACATGCAATAAATAAATCAAGAACAGTCTTACCATTCCATTACTGGCCATACAGGAATCAGATGATGTAGGACAGTCGCAAGCCTCACCGGTATAGCCGGGTTCACAATCACATTGTCCGCAAAAGCACCGCCCGTGTCCTGACAACAAACAAGTTACAGACAAAAACATTAAATGTGGATAGTTTAAAAATCTAGGTGATTTAAAAACATGTATCATTACATCATATTTAGAAACATTCCATAATATAAATGATTTCCTGCCGGTATCAACATGCAAAAAAAATCTTATGTTTCTTCCAATACTCTGCACGTAATTTAAAGCTGCATGCCTCCAGACGAGTAAAAATATTTCAATAAAATCAAACTTGAAAAATATGTACTAATATTTTTGGAAAAGCAAAATGATTCAAGATTCCGGTAATATTTTACACGTTATGTGCAATAAATGACTGATTTTTCAGTATTTACAACTATATTTCTACTGCGTTACTAACGCAATAAGGCTATTTATGCATATTTTCAACACTTATTTGTAAATAACTTGGGTTTTAAGTGTCATTAGAAATGTATAAATTGTTTCTTTTTGGTTATTTCACAATATTGTACATTCAAATACATTATCAAAATTTTCATGAAAATAAGCATGAATCTGGAGGCCTGCTGCTTTGAAACGTACAATTTGCATGCAAGAGATAACCTGCTAACAGCACAGTCGTCAGATTAAAGTTAAATTAAAATGACAGCAATTAGCTGATTGATGTCTTCATTCCACTAAATACAAAATGATTCAATCTACGACGCTTCCCTCTATTATTTGTTTTTTGTTGTTGTTGTTTTTGATTTTACATCTTGATAACATTAACAACACAGGCATTTGTTGGTCTAAGACAATCTCGACAAGTATATGCTTTAGTTATACAATAACCTATAATATTTTCAATTGACTTATTTAATTCCGCACGTACCTGATTATAACAAATATTGTAATAAATGAATTTATTACCTGCACACATTCGGTTGTTACTGTAGGAACATGAGTAATCATTGCATTCACAAAACTGACCAGAGTAAACTTGTGATGATTGAGGTCGTAAAGGGAGACAACTACAAAATCCACAAATACATTCTCCTCTCCCAGAACACATTACCCCAGTTGTTGAATTTGGACTAATTGTAAAAAAGAGAATTTTAATCACATTGATTTATTATTTAAGTCATTCGTATTCTTTTTTGAAAACATCATGTTTGTAAATAAAGTAAATCAAAAAGGCATAATCAATTACATATCGTTTCAAGAACTTTTAAATGCCGCCGTAATACTATCAATCAATGTATTCAGTTAAAGGTTAAATGAGGTAACTGTAAATCTTAAGGTGGTTTAACAACAAAATACAAAAAAAAATATTTCTTTTATGTAAATAAGCATCAAATGATTATTTTATTTTCGTGTATTTTTGTTGTGATGGTTTGTCTGTTCTGTTTTAAAATGTCATTTTCAGTTTCTTTTATTCATCCATGGCTGCTCATAACATTTCCCTTGCATTTCGTTTTCTTACTTCCCAATGGGTAATATAAGTATTGGTGCTTGGAGAGCAGCTATAGGATTGTATTATAATGGAACACATTGTTTACATTATTCATATTGTTTTAAACAATACCACAAAAACATCTCTTCTATATTTTTGGTTTGTTTATAGCAATATATGTTAGAAAGTATTTTTTGTACTCTGGGTTTTTGTTTTGCTTAAATTTATATTTTTTATCAACATTTTTATTCTTCTTTGCAATAATAACCTCAAAAAAAAATCCCAAAACATTACAGAATGTTTACGATTATTTTACTTTATAGGTTCTCAGGCTCTTTTTTCTATAAAAGAACTATTATTATTGTTATCAGGTGACATAGAAACTAACCCGGGTCCTAACAATCAAAATGACGCATGTCTTTCAATTATTCATCAAAATATTAGAAGTATAAAGAAACAAATTGATTTCATAAAAGATAATTTCAATGACTTCGAAATTTTATGTTTTACAGAAACTCACTTAACTAATACAATTAAAGACGATCAAATATTTTTGGATGGATATAGATGTTTATATAGGAAGGATAACACTGCCCATTCAGGGGGATAATTATTTATACGTCAGATAAATTGGTAACAAAAAGAGTTTTTGAATTAGAAATGTATTCTGATGAATCAATATGGATTAATGTTAAAGATAAGGAGAAGAACATTTTGATAGGCACTGTTTATCGCCACCCAAATTCTACTGTTGAGTTTTGGTCAAAACTGGATAACTGTTTAGAAAAAGGCGCATGAATTGTCGAATTACATTGTTTTACTTGGTGATGTAAATGAAGATCAACTCAATTATTCAAACCATAAATTACGTGATATCTTAATTATTAATAATATGAGTAATGTTATCAATCAGCCGACTCGTGTATCAAATACATCTGCCACACTTATTTGACCCAATAGTAATTTCTAGTGGAAATAAAATCATTTGACTTTGGTGTTTCAGAAACTCCGAGCGACATTAGTGATCATTATGCTAGTTATATTTTTATTCATTTTGAAGCGCTTCCTTTTAATACTTATAAGCGTTGTGTCTGGAATTATAATAATGCGGACTTTGTTTCGGTTAAATGAATTGATAACTTCATATAATTGGTCAATATTATCTAATGGCACTGTAGACGAGGCTTCCGATTTATTTACTTCTCATTTTTAGATTTGACAAAACGATGCATTCCATATAAAAGAAGTTACAATACGACCATACGACAGACCATGGTACGATTCAATAATACGAAGAAACGTCCCGGAAGCGTGACAGACAAAAATCACGTGCAATTAAAACTAATAAATCGTTAGACTGGATTTTATATAAAAATTAAGAAACAAGGTTAATAATTTAAAAAAAAGCACGCGAAACAAGTTTTTTTTTTAATAATTTAGAATTTACAATCAACGATATAAGTAGTAAATAATCCTCGCGAATATTGGAAAATTGTGAAAATGTTAGTTAAAGATAATAAACAATGTGAAATAATACCGCCATTGAGACTTAATAATGACTTGTATGTATTTACTGATAAAGAAAAGGCAAATGCGCTCAATGATTACTTTGTCTCTGTATCTTCTATTGATGATTCTAATACTTCTTTACCCATTTTCAATCTTAAAACAAACGAATCTTTGTGTGACATAATAATTAACGAAGAAGAAGTTAAAGACATTCTTTCATGCTTAATAAATAAAAAAGGCTAGTGGACCAGATGGGATAAGTCACCGTATGCTTAAAGAAACATCTTCTAGCATTTGTAAAACCTCTATGTACACTTTTTAATCGTTCCCTTCAAGAAAATACATATCCCACATGTTTCGAAAAACGCAAATGTTATGCCATTATTTAAAAAAAGGGGAGCACGATCTTTGTTCTAATTACAGACCAATTTCTTTAATAAGTTGCATAGGAAAAGTTATGGAAAGAATTATATTCAAATATATTTACAACCATTTACATATGAACAATCTTATTTACAAATATCAATCCGGTTTATTCCAGGGCATTCTACTGTATATCAATTAATTGACATTTATCATCAAATATGTAAAGCTTTTGATGAAAAGAAATCAACTTGTATAGTGTTCTGTGATATCTCTAAAGCATTTGACCGTGTTTTGGCATAAAGGTCTACTGTTTTTAAACTGCATCAGTTACGGCATTACAAATAATTTGAATACTTGGATTGCTAGCTATCTTAAGTCGAGGAACCAAAGCGTTTTTGTTGGTTCTTCTTTTTCTGACACACAAAATTCATAAATGCTGGTGTCCCTCAAGGATCTGTGCTTGGTCCTCTTCTTTTTTTTGATTTATGTTAATGACATTGCTGAAAACTTACTTAGTTTGACTCGTCTTTTTGCAGATGATAGTTCTTTATCGGTAACAAGCGATGATTCTAAATATATAGAAATGACTCTAAATTTGATCTTAAAACTATTACTGAATGGGCAGACAATGGCTTGTAACCTTTAATCCTAATAAGACAGAAGTATTATTTTGTTCTCTTATTAGAAATGAAAGACCTTTTTGTACTTTAACAATGTTCAACTTAATTACACTCAACACCACAGGCATTTGGGGTTAACCTTAAGTGATGATGGAACCTGCATGAACATATTAATAATATAACTAACTCGGCGTCCAAAATATTAGGTTCTATGCGTTTATTAAAGTTCAAATTAAATAGAACAACATTAAATCAAATTTATATTTCCTATATGAGGCCTTATTAAGAATATGCTAGTGTTATTTGGGATAGTTGTACCTTATATGAAAAAGAAAAAATTGAAAAAAAATGCAATACGAAGCTGCGCGCTTAGTAACTGGTTTGACTCGCTCAGTGTCTATAGAAAAGACTTCTGCATGAAATAGGTTGGTCTCTTTAGCAGATCGTCGTTTAATGCAAAAATTTATCTAATAATGTATAAAGCTAAAAATGGGAGCTTCCAAGTTATCTGGACACTTTGTTTCCAAATTTTGTATCAGAAAGTAGCCAATATAACCTTAGAAATAACGATAATTACGTAACAATAGCACGACGAACAGAAATATTTTCTAGATCATTTATACCCTCAGCAATTTCGGCATGGAATAGTCTTGATAATGAGATACGTGACTCGACTCTTTAAATGTGTTCAAAACTAAACTCAAGGATAAATTCAAACCCACACTTGTCCCTAAATATTATTTAATTGGAGAAAGGTTAACATCTGTTTACCATGCACGTTTAAGAAATAGATGTAGTAATTTGAATGATGATCTGTATAGAAATCACTTAGCAAACTCCCCTGTTTGTGAGTTTTGCCATATCGAGGAGGATGCTGAACATTTCTTTTTTAACTGTAAACTTTTTGGTGTTCAAAAGACTCCAACTTTTCACTTCCACTCGCCCTTTTCATCCATTAAGTACAAGTACTCTCCTTTATGGAAAAGAAAATTTATCAGTCGATGAAAAACTCTTTTTTATTTCACGAGGTTCAAAAAATATATAAAAAATACACATAGATTTTAAATAATAAGAAATAAGTACATGTGAAAATAACAATCGTTGTTCCAATATTAATTCTTCTAATTCCCCTTATAAATGACATATTTTGACAGCCATACAAACCATCACATACTGCAAGTGCAGGAAAAATTACTACTATTTTTTTTTTTTTATTTAAAAAATTAATAAGCAAATGTTTTTTTTTTGTTTTTGTTTTTCTCTTAAATTTGATGTCGAATTCTATTCGCTACTTAGTTTCCGCCTTAATATTTGTAATTGCTTCATGTGTATAGTGTTTAAACATGTTTCGTTTCTATATCTTATAATGCTTAAGGGAAGGACAGTTACTAATGTTGCTAGAACTTGTTGTTCAACCCTTTTGCCCTTTGTTAAAAATGTGTTTTGTGGAAATAATGTTTAAAATTGTATTCAAAGAGCAATAAAATATTATTAAACTAAACTAAAACAAAATATAACTTAAGAAAATTAATTAAATAATTTCTCAGTTATATCTTTCTGTAGGCACATGTTCCATTCTATGTTCATATATTGTAGTGGATAATATAACAAATTGATCAAATCACAAATCGGATCTAACCTACTTGCACTTAAGATATAAAAAATAATATAAATATAAAATAAAAAGTAATATATAGTTTTAATTATATAATTTTGGCTTAATTTACTATTGAATGGAGAAATTTCTCTTAACCTCTAGACTTTTACACTGACCTTATACATGTATAACAAATAGTTATTTATGTTATCTTATAATTGCCAGACTGTCAATGGTAATTTCAAGATTCTTGTCTTAACATGTAGGGAGAAAATAAATGTTCACACTTTTCACACAGTAATGCATATGTCAGCTACAAAATAATTTCAGAAAAAAGCACTACCTTAATCTGACAGCAATTTAATATATAACCTTTTCAGGAACGCTATGCCATTTTGATATATGTTCCGTGTCATTTATTAGAAAAAGCAAGTAGATTATAAAAATTATAGAAATCAAACCTTATACACTGGCGCATCACTTCTTCTTCGGTCATCATTCCGGATGTGACGTCACATTCACACGCCTTGCCAAAGTGGCCTACATTGCATACACAGTGACCGCACATGTTTGTACCACTATACGAACAAAGTTCACTAGCAAATTCCTGTTCCTGGATCTAAGAAGCAACGATTTACATGTTTTTATTTTGAAACAGCCTGGTCGTAAAAACATATATATGATACAAATAAACTACGTTATTAAGACTCTAGATACCTTTGTTTTCATTATCAACAGTGGGCGACCCATCCTTCATAAAACATAAACATGTATATTTATAGGACGTCTAATGAAATATTGTTATTTGACGAGTTCAAATAATATATTATGAAAGTTAAATTCGTTTATGCAAAACTTTTTTCAAACACGCTTAGGAAAATTATTTATTCTGACGCTTATAATTAGTGCTCGCCAATTTTTTTAAGCCAATCACCGACGAGGATTTTTCAAATTTTCAGATTGCAAATCCTAATAGAACAGATTTTATATAAACTGGACATTTTATATTATAAAACGCAAGTGGGCGGAGCTAAGTTTCGAAGAGCGTTAAAGTGAAATATACGCAGGTGCAGAGATTTTGAAGTTTACTCCTACTAATCAATATTTATGCATCATGTTTTTTTTCGTACACGCACATGTATATCGTCACTACGGCATAGAATTAAAAAAAGAGGTTCATTGAAATGAAAACAGGCAAAATAACAGTTAAAATGTTTTACTACTAACGGAACCAGTATCATTTTATAATTTCCAAATAAAAAGTTCACTTATTCCAATAAAGTATGTATGTAATATTTCTTACTTTTTATGTAAATATTACAGCCCGTGCCGCTGCAAAACCAAAAGTAGGGTGTTTTTATTAATTTTACATTTATTTTTGACAATATACTGTCATTTGCCCGAAGATGATATGTATATGAACATAATAAATATGTATGCTGCATATATAATCAAGCTACAGGTTCATTTTGAACAGCCCGAAAAATATGTCGAGGTGACGGGCGAGGCAAGAAATGTCGACTTTTTGTAGCTTATTGTGAAGTTGCAGTGCATGAAAATCGGGCACATGACAAATCAGCACATAAATAAAACATTTTAGTGTTCCGTGGTATACATCTTTTCTACGTGTCATACCTCCTTTCCTTATTACAATGAATTTTTACTGCATTGTTATCCATCGCTGGTTTGTTTTTAGCACAGAATGACCACAGACGCTTGGGGTTTGGAGCTCAAAACGCCTTTAAAATCCAAATAAAATGCATATTTGTCAATCCCAGGACATGTACTGATCATATATATCAAAAAATCTTAATATATGCCGTTTTGAAAAAAAATCATATTTCAACATCTATAATAATACACAAGATAAAAATGTTCGCCGGAAAAAATCCGCACCCCTACCGTCATAATCACCATGTATTTTAATCCATTTCCAATATTTTCACATAATCCTTTTGGTCCATCGACACAGAAGATATAATTCTTCACGATGATGGTCAATTTTAAACTTCAACGGTAATATAAACAACGCAACAGCCGAAATAAACATCAATATTCTCGCCGTTTTTTTCAACGACAAATACTTTCGATAAATTCAATGGACCAGACGGCTATGAACGAAGCTATCCGATTATGTGGCCCCAGCTTTGCCGTGTGCAAAATGCGCAGCGCTTTTAAGTTTGGGAACCACATAATCGGATAGCTTCGTTCATAGCCGTCTGGTCCATTGAATTTTATCGAAAGTATTTGTCGTTGAAAAAAAACGGCGAGAATATTGATGTTTATGTCGGCTGTTGCGTTGTTTATATTACCGTTGAAGTTTAAAATTGACCATCATCGTGAAGAATTATATCTTCTGTGTCGATGGACCAAAGGATTATGTGAAAATATTGGAAATGGATTAAAATACATGGTGATTATGACGGTAGGGGTGCGGATTTTTTCCGGCGAACATTTTTATCTTGTGTATTATTATAGATGTTGAAATATGATTTTTTTTCAAAACGGCATATATTAAGATTTTTCGATATATATGATCAGTACATGTCCTGGGATTGACAAATATGCATTTTATTTGGATTTTAAACACTGTTAAAGGCGTTTTGAGCTCCAAACCCCAAGCGTCTGTGAGAATGACCTGTGTATGTTCAAAGAGGGTACTGTACCGTTTGAGAATATTTCGCAAAGAGGGTACCAATATGGATATGCACCGTGATATTGTCTTATTTACCTAGATAAGCTATGCAAAACACGTGACCCGAAAATGTGTACCGCTACCTCTTCCAAATATGGTTATACACATTTAGGCTATCGTGTGACGTCACGCAGTGTGTTGGGCGGAAAAAAATGGGCGGAGCACTAAGCCGGTTAGAGTGCATCTTGGATGTTCTTCGTAAATAAGAAAGCTACAGTCGCTTCGCAAGCTCCGCTCTTTCTTAGCTTTCTTATTTACGAAGAACACCCAATATGCACTCTAACCTATACATAGAATCATGATCACTTACAGGACAGTCCTCACACTTTGGTCCTCTAAATGTTCCTTCACAAACACACACTCCACACATGCAACTACCATGTCCATTGCATAGCTGAATTTTGAAAGCCAAATATATTTTTTAATCTAATACTAGAAGAACAAGTGAATGCTTTTAAACTTGTAATATGCCCAAAACAGCCAACATTTCAGAAAAAAAGAAGTTTAAGATTAAGTAGAAGTAATTGAACTACTGACGGAAACGTCTTAAAATATTTGTCAATAAAACAATGTTAATCAAGAAAAAAATAACAAGACATTACATAATTTCAATGAATAATTAACAATAAAAAAACAATATGACCTCACAAGATGATACAACTAGTACAGAAATGTCCTTCGATCAGAAACATTCTATAATTCCAGAAAAATGTTTCAAGTTGCTCAATTAAAAAGATGTAAATTTTGTAGGTCAACTTAGTTAAAATATAAGAATATAAACATGTCGCTATATTTTGTACGCTTTATTTTAAGACTTAAACACATTTAGTGCTTCATGTAATATTTTGTGAGACGTCTGGTCAACAATGACGTTATTCATACCCGAGTACATGTTAATATAGATTTAGGTTTTGATACAAATCCATTCTACAAAATTTAGTCTACAATACAAACATTGTGATCCCTCGGGGTATAAAGGTCATTACTCTTAACTTACCAATCCATTACTTGACTTGCACATGCTCGTGTCTGTCGTGCAATCACATGCCTCGCCAGAATAACCAGGGTCACATTGACATTCACCACATACACATCGACCGTGTCCTATGATAATAAAATACAAAATATAGACAAAATGTACCTTTATCACAGAATAGATAGATAGATTTTATCTGAATGCAAATATAGAAAGAGAAATTGCCTGAATAAAATATCATTAGAGAAACGGACTGTACACCAATCCGAAAAAAATGGAAACATTACCTAAATACAATACAGTAAAGACTGTTTACAGTGACCTTCGATGGGAGAAAAGAAAAAAGGTCATTATAGACAGGGTGTCACTGTGGACAGTCTCTACATAATTCGGATATATGAACATATCATACCAATATTTTGTTGAAAAGCAGGATAGTACCATACTAAGGGTTCAATTATATTTTTATTGATATTAAACATATCAAATATCTTTTATAAAAAACAATAGAGTATTAAAATTGCATGTATAATTGGTTAAGATTATAAACTACACCATAACATTAGTATTTAAAAGTTACATATTCATTAAAATGTAATTTATATTGATAAATCTGTTTGTAAAAAAATGTTTAATTTCAATTTTACTTATGAGATGTTACTGTAGAGACATTTAATTTTGTATAATCAGCCTGTTTACTTTACGGACTTCAATGTTTTAATTAAACATTAGATACAAATCTTCACATAATTTCTACAGATAAGTGCTCCGAAAAAAATTAACAATCGAGGTTTCAAACATAACCACACCTTTAAGACGTTTGGCATTGTTTATCTTTTACTCGCCAAAACACCGCAGCAATTATGTATATGCAGGTGTCTTCAATCATTCTATCGGCGAAAATTGATTGAATCTGTCGCCATTTTGTGTAATTGTCAACAAACAGCCACAGTGTATTAGCGTGTCACCGATTGGTCAATGCAAACTGCCGTAGATACAACGCGCGTTTTGATTCGTCAATCGCATGAATACGTAATGAGAAAGATAAACATAGTGAACTCTTGCCTTGCGGCGTGTATTGAACTTATAGTTGATGTTGACACGCGTTCTTAATTAGCGGATTAACGGTAATTGGTTGTAATTGAGAGGTAAACAAATTATTAACGGACCTAGCGGCGTAAGTAAGTATGACGGAAAATTATAAAAATCGGGCGACTTTCAAAATCTCTTTGAAGTTTGTTTTAGGCAAAGTCGCTGATCCGAAGGCGACTTCTTCGCCAAAGTCGTCACCTAGTTCAAGCCTTGCTCCCCTTGCAAAAGTCGCTGTTCACGGCTCAAATACCGTAACGGGTGACTAAATCATGGTCGTTGTACGGACTAGACAGGGAGTCGCTACATACAGACCATTTATATAGTAAATACTGTTCGGCGCACCTAAATATGGTCACTAAAGACAGAACGTCGCTATGTACAGGGGGTCGCTAAGACAGTCTTTACTGTATATAGATAAAACAATGATCAAAATACAAAAATGATAGAGTAATGGATGGTATCAAAATGTTCTGAATAAAACAGAAAGAGCAACGGACAATCCGAATACAAAATAGATTGAGTAATAAACAATAAACTGTATACAAATCCGATAGTATTTTCTTTTCTGAATACAAAAAAAAGATATAGCTGTGGTGCGAATCCGATAGAAAAATGGTCTGAATACAATGTAGATATAAAACAGGCCTAAATACAGACCATGGCCTGAATACTAATCAGATAAAATAAAGAAAATCGAAAGAAAACAAAACGAATTAATGTCTGAATAAATAAAACAGTTGCAGAAATAGTCTACAATCAAACAGAAATGGTCACGAACTTAAGCAGGAACAGAAATTGTCTGGGCACAAAATATATTGAGCAATGATTTGTTATATGACACAAATATGGAAATAACTTTGATTAATTTTTAATCTCACCTCCACACATGATGTTGTTACTGTAAGAACACGAGTAATCATCACACTCACAAAATTGACCAGAATAACGTGTCATTGAATTAGCACGGGTATGAAAACACTGACATTTACCGCAAACACAATCTCCTCTTCCAGAACACATATATCCATTTGTTGAACCTGGTCTTTTTTAATAATAAGAAATCTTAATATACAACCGAAATATGATATTGTTGACGTTATTTAGAAAAAAGTTTCGTTTCATTTTAATTTACGCAATACGTCATACATTGAATATTAAGAAGAACTCCGAAAGGGTTTTAATAAAGGTGCTGTACTATGGAAATCATTATTTACCAAGCCACTGTTTTAATAATGGAAAATTTGGAGCGGTAATCCGACTATGGATATTGGACCATCATTTAAAACGGACCATCATTTAAAACAATTTAACAGAAGTCTTAAAGGCCGAGGTTGCCATTAAGATGACAAACTTTTCTCATAAATAAGATCGGCAATTTCACTCTTTATGAAAAATCAAGGTCAATACCTTTTAAGGCAATGTATGAATTTGCTGGTTAATGGCTGGAACAAACCACTTGTTTACATCTTTATTCCTTTGTATATTTTGTATTTGTGTAAATGTAAATACAAACAAAGAGGAGAAGAAAAGAAATTAAACTGAAAGTAAAATATTATGAGATATGTTGTGTATACAATATTTGTACCTAATGCATGGTTGTATAGCTGATTCGGTCGTCATTCCAATTCTACCATCACATTCACATCTCAGCCCATAGTATCCTGGATCGCACTTACATTGTCCGCATGAATCGACTGAACCGTGACCGCCACATTTATCACTTTGAGGTTCTATAATCTGATAAGAGGATACAAATGGATTGTTCACTAACTTAAACTTTATTTTTCATTTTAAAAATCACCATTACATGGTCCACTTACATAAAATTGTAGCGTTTTATATTTCAATGTAGAAATTTACTAATGGTTTTCTGTCACTTATGACGACATGATAGTGCCTTTCTTTTACATGAATCTACGTATGTTAAAATAATTATGAAATATTACTTATAAGACACGTAAAATATCATTTTTTTTGGTTAGCTAGTCTATCTAGAAGAGTATTAACTCATATCATTTTACCGTTATGTTTGGTCTATCTAGAAGAGTATAAACTCATGCCATTTTACCGTTATGTTTGGTGTTGTTTCAGACGTTAAAATGTCGTCTGCTGATATTCCAAGCGACAAATGTTTGTCATAAAGGTTGCAGTGACTCTTGACGTTATTTGGTAAATCTATGTGTTTGTACCAACCGCAAGAATAGGGCATATTTAAACACTCTTCACATGAAAAGGCCATCTTGCAAATATTCCTTTTCCCTATTAATGAAAAAGCTTATTTATTTTAGTTTATACAAATTTAGTTTAGTTCGATAGTGTTGGAATTGAACTCTCTTGAATCCGTTCCTAGTAACCAATGAATGGAATGTTAAACAATGGCTTGCCCCTGACAGGGTTTGAACCCACACGGTAAGCTTCCTTAGATTACTAGTCTGACGCATTTACCACTCGACCACGCGTGTTTATTGAACGAAGAAAAGTCATTGTAAGAACAATATTGATAGCGATGTAGCTGTAGACAAGTTTATTCAATGCAAGTTAAAAATGATTGATAAGATTTATATTATGTAAAAGTTTAATGCACGGCCATTTTTAAATGCTGTTAGAAAAGATAGATGATTTGCATTTGGTAGGTATATATTTTCTCTACATGTTTTGATAATTATAGAAAAACATAACGACTGACTGATCACATGACTGATAAAATGTGCCGTCACCTGCATTTGACCTAAAAAGAGATTTTCTTCTCTCACCTTCAAGCGACATCTTTTCACAAGCATCCCCTTTATATCTCGTATCACATGAGCAACGCCCGCACGAGCAGCTTCCGTGACCTTAAAGTAGATGACATAATTTCAAATAATCGAGTTTCAAAGTTTTTAAAAAATCGCGATACTGATAAGTTTAGATAAATACAATGTAAAATATAAACTCGTCTATATTGACAATGTAGCTGTACCACATGTTCGCGAATTTGTTTTTCGGGAGGCTATGAGGCCTCAACAGACGGTAGGATTTAGCTGTACAGCACTAATTAGAGATAAGATGTACAATTTTCAAAGCTATACAACACTTGCATTCAGACGGTAATTCTACACTGTAAGAATCATCTGAGGTTTCCCCTAAAAAAGATCCCTTTTCATTGATCCTTTACATACTTTACTCACTAAATGCTTTTTTCGACATGAGTAATGATTGAAAAACCTCCATTTAAATATATATATATATATTTTTTTAATGTGAGGCCTGACTGAGACTCAAACCTAGGACCCTCGGAATACCGTACTGCGGCTCTGCTGACTAAGCTATCTGGTCGCCTACAAACTACCTCCCCTCCCCTAATTAGAGAACAATTCAATACCGTGACATAATCATTTTCCGAATTATTTGGGATTCGAACATAACACAACTTTGGGTCTCCTGAAGAGTTTTTCAACATCATTTTTATCCCACCTTACTACTATGTTTACCTTTTAGCCCTCATTGTTCTGGAATTTCATTCATTACACCCATTATCAGGAGATAATTTGGTTATCTGTTACTTGTCATTGTGGGAGGTCTATAAAAATCGGTACGACAAGATTTTCAAAATAGAACATGTCCTATCCCTTAAATCTTGACATAAGGTTTCCGAAATCAAGAAATAGTACCCTTCACACATTAAGATTTGTCCGTACATCTTAGTTTTAATTGGTGTTGTACTTCAAAATCCTACCGTCTGTTGAGGCCTATATGCCGCCCCAATGTAAAGACTGTTCATCAAATCTCACTGCCGCGGTAATCAGGTCTAAAAATAGTACCATGGTGTTTTACAGCTGACTCATCGCATATCACCTTTATTTACATGTTAAAACAAGTTTTTGTTCTTAACCATCATAGTTTATTTGCTATTTGTAAAGTTTTTAATTCTCAGAGAAACGCTTGGTTTAAACGTTTTCTAAATTTAAAATCACTACTCACGTTTACTTCGGCGAAAAATCGGTCATGCATCGTTCAAAAATAGTTCTGTTATATTAACCCTTATACTTTTCACTACTTTATCGGGAAGATTAAAAACAAAACGCATTATAGTAAAGTACTGAATACATGTTTTAATTATTTGGCAAACTATTGTTTTTATTTTTGAAAACAATTTTCCAATTACTACGCAGCGACAAAGTGTACATGACGGGTCATTAACTAGAACGTTTCCGGTTGAGAACACCGTAGTCTCACTATTATGAATGTTCTTTTGTTGTTATAAACCATTAATAGTCATTAATAATCCTTAAAATATTATTTTTTAACAAGACAAATAATAATAAACTGTCGCTTAAATCAGAGACATGGATCATGCCTGCGTGATGACTAATGGAAACTAACTTATAAGTACACCCCATGAGGCTGTACGCGGAAAACGCACACAACACCGCTTTATCATAATAGCTGTTTGTAAACCGTTTGCACACATTTAACTTAGAATTCACTGATGGTGATGAACATATAGTTTGAAAACATTATATACTTGAACCATTTTCGCCGAAAAAAAACACTATTTAACTAAATAAACCCGTAAGAACCCTCCTATAAAGTTTAAGCACAGGAATACATTTCTTATATTTTCATCTCACATAATTCATCAATCAAACTTTTATTATAAAAGTATCTTTAAATAGATATGTCTGGCAATTGAAAGATCCCTACTCTGACCTTTAATTTGAATAAGAATAAATTTAAATATGTGCTCTTTTGTTTAGGAATATGTTGTGTTGAAAGTCATAATGTATCCACTAATCTCGGAAATAGAAGTAGACAGGTCAGGGCTCTGTACAACCAGTTCTTTAGGTTAATCCCAATAGAAACATTTAGGGGTAAAAGACATGACCAAAGTACCTAGTAGTCGCTCATCCGGTTGTGATTTCATTAAAATGATTATTGATTCGATTTGATTAGTAAAAACAAATAGAAACATGTGTTTCGCTACAACAAAAATCAGAAGTAGCGAATATTTAACTGACAGAAAGTCAGATGTATTCACATATGTTTTCTTACCAGAACAGAACAAGGAAATAATTATTTCAGTGAAAGACGCAATGATCAGTTTTAATTCAAGCAAAAGAGTGACACCTTATTGGGTATTTAGAAAGTTTATTCAATTATATGGCAACACATCATAATTTGATAGTCCGTGTGTAATAAAATTCAAATAATTGATACAGATAAATAAAAGAAAAAAATAATTTAATAAGAAGGTTTAAAAAAAGTAAAACTGTAGAGCCGTCAGTTGTAAAATGGTATTGTGATCTTATAATGAACAGTCTTCATACTTGCTGGTATGTCATTTTATATTGGCAGTTTAGGTTCTTCAAAATTTGCATGGTTAACAGTCCGAATGAAGACCTTAATGAAAAGTTCTAGAATATTAACAAAATGATAAGTCGACCATATTAAGCATATGAATGGATGATGCTATTTTTCATTGTTAAGTTGAGCTGAATTAACTATATACATTTAATTCAAAAGATTGACTGTTACAATGGTGATTGACCAATAGTTGATATTGATAAATGTTTAAACTTGCCTTAATTTTAAAATGATTGTCCCACTCGTTTTACAAATAAAACGTTACACAGAAATTTCGTAGGGCTTTAGCTACATTTTGAAAGAAAAGTAGCCAAAACACAATCTATAATGATTGGACTATTTCCCTCAATGTTCATGTTAAATAACAGATGCACTAATTTTGAAAAGCAAAAATTACCTCCACATAATTTGCCTTCATGTTTTGGACATGAGAAGTCGTCACATTCACAATACCGTCCGTAATAACTCTCAGTTATGTTCGATCCTCGTGAAAAACACTCGCATGACCCACATTTACACTCACCCCTCCCGTTACACGGCTCCGAAGAACCGGAGCTAGGGAAAAAAGACAACAATTTCTTCAAATTCATTAAAACTTTGATTTCGTTCATACATATATATTGTTCTATTTCCCTCAAATAGCTTAGACAGATTCTTACAAATTTTAATGAAAATCTTGAAATGTATTTAAAAGTGTAATATTGTTAAGTGAACACAGAAAGTAATTTTCACATTGCAAAAGGCACTTACAATCCATGCAAGGACGAGGTCAAAATGTGCATTGGGTTACGCAGTAGAAATATGGTGATAAATATTGCAAACTAATTATGCCAAATAACATATGTATCATTACTTGAATCAATTTGCTTTTCTTAAAATATTCTTAGTACATATTCTTAGTACATATTTCGTTTACTTATAATAGTTTGGCTTATCTCGAGGCATACAGTTTTAAGTTGAAAATAGGAGATCTTTACTGGATATTTAGACTAGCGTTAAATATGTTAGATCAATTGTAATTCTCAGACCTAAAAGTATTTTTACCTCAGTTAATTGCAAGATTAGAGTTTTTCATAAAGTGTCCAAAATCAGATGAAAAAGAAGTGTATAATGTCACTACATTTTCCAAAATGAACGTCTCAATAACACGCACCCCTCCCACTTCAACTTGATTTAAACATATTTATTTAAGCTCGATTGCGAAACAAGTTCTTGCAACTTATATTAATCACTATCGAGTTCGCTTCCTCGAACAACCAGTACTGGTGTCAAATGAAAAAAAACATGGTCGTGACCGAGGAGTGCTCAAACCCATGATCTCTGGGTTGAGAGGCAGACACCTTAACCACTAGGTCACCGCTCCACTTAACCTTGACATAAATTGGCATAACTTACGCAGTGCATGCGGCCATGGCTGTATCACGATCTGAAAACCGATAATTGGCCTCGCATTCGCACATGTCTCCATAGAAATCAGGTTCACATTTACACGTGCCGCACGGGTCAAACGTTCCACGATGGTTACATTGAGGATGTTTCGGGTCTAAAATCTAAATAGAAAGGTCGTGAAACTGGATCTGTCTTTATGAGTAAATTAAAATTTGACTAAAGTCAAAACATTTCTTTAACTAATTTTGTTTCATTCTGACATTAAAGAAAACTTATGATACAAAATTTGCAATTAATGCAACAATGAAAATTGAACTGTTTGTTATGTCCAGGATGTATAATCACGTTGTCTATTATTAGGGGTACATAAGTAATAGTAAGTGATGGGCTCTGATGCTTTGTATTTTGCTACGAGCAGCGTTGGAAATTGATATTTTGCGAGAGCGAAGGTCGAGTGAGATATCAATTTTCCAATGTTGCGAGTAGTAAAATACATTGCCACAGAAAGATTCCACAATACAATTTTCCTTTCTATTATACACCTATTCGTTTTAAGTAAAAAGGAGTTTCAATATATTTCACTTCTATTAGTAATTTTAGAAAATGAAATTTAGCTGTCAAGAAATAATTTCAAGAATGACGAATAAATACATATTTTTTTGCCAAACCGGCCACGCCTTTAATAATTTTGGTTCAATTATACGACTGAAAAGGTGCATAAAGATGAATAAGACGCATATAAAATCATTCCGAGATATTTCTAGTAGATCTATATATTCCTGATGTCTGAAACCAGTTTATTTGGCATTAATTATTACCCTGGTTTGAAATTGAAAATCTTCTTTTCTTCAATAGGAGGGATTTACAGACAAGGATTTTTCTGGATAAGAAATACACATAGCAACAGTTGCTGGTTGTACAAACATTTTGTCCGACCTGTTACCAGTCATATAGAATTAATATTACTTTCAGTGTGATTCAATGAAAAATTGTAAGTTTAAATTAATTTTACAGTGTTAATGTATGAAGTTTTAATTCCAGATTAATGCTTTGCCCATTATTTAGAGATCATTATTAACTAATAATTATACTTCGATTTGGTTATTTTTAAGAATCATTTTTTGCCATAAAAGTACTAAAACTTACAATACCTAATAATAAATGCCTAATTATTCTTGTACGGGATTTTTCCCCAGCAAACATATGCTTTTGTAGATGAATGTCCGTCATAGGTCATTGATAATTGAATTATAACTTTGATCACTAATATTTATTAACAACACTTTTAAGTCAATATTCAATTGCTATTTCAATTTCTATTTTCAATATTCAATTTAATTAAGTTGACTTCTATATTTATTCACTCTTGTATCAATATGAAAAATTCTAATTCAGAGGATATTTGTTAAAACGCTTGTTAAAATTTAAAATCACATTTTTGATTAAAAAGAATTAATACTACTTTGATTAAGAAATTTGGATCCAGAAGATTATCATGCTTTAATTTAAATTTTAAAAAGATATTATGAATTAATAATACTTGGATCCAGAAGAAGAATTTAACTTGGATTTAAATCTAAATTTTTAGGCAATTGAATAACATGTAAAATTACGTTCAAACTACCTTAGTATTAAATCGTTTGTTTAGAAGTGTTACATGTAATAGAATTCATTCTTTTTTATTTTTCATTGAGGGAGTTGATAACCTTATTCTACTTTATTTTTTATTCAGAGGATTAATTATCTACTTAGATTTATTTTTTATTGTTATACTGGGATTTAAATTAAAGTTTTGATTCAGAAGTTAGTCCTTATAGACAATTTCTGGATTTGAATATTTTGACAAAGAAGATTTATTAATTTCAAATGGTATATTAGAATTGCAATTATTCAATTAAATGTTATTTTTATCATTACAGTTCATTTGTTCTTTCTTTGTAACTAACCCGGATCTCAAATTAATTCACCTTGAATAAAAACATTGATTTTTCTAAACATAACTGATAAATGACACCAACAGTTAATTTTTCTTTGTTTAAATTGGTAAACATTGAAAGTATGAGGCTACAAATGTATAAAAAGCTCACTTTTCCAAAAGTTCCTTTTTACTGTAGACATATCTTATGGTCAAAATGAGAATGCTCGGATCAAAATTTAGCAGTAGGAGTATCATTTTCTAAGAGTTTATAGTGTACATTCTATGTGTAACACGACTTCCCTCATAATGTGTATCACGTGATACACATAACAGGTATTGATGACCTAGTCGTAAATCCCTCCTATTTCTCTGTAGGTCTTCGAACAAACTATGAATTTTGTATACCTTCGAAACATCAGGTGCTGGCACTGCCATTTATCTCATTACACAAATAATAAAAACGTGAGTATACACCTTGTTTACTATCACAAGTACAACATTTGCATGATTTTTTTATAAATAATACAACAACACCAAACACTCCACAATCATAAACAGAATTATGAATTATTATAATTACCGTTTGAATCCGTAATATCATACATGCTACAATCCTCAGATAGAAAAGCATCCTTCCTCAGACATCAAGTTTCTTTTCAGAAACCAAGCTTCTTTTCAGACACCAAGCTTCTTTTCAGAAACCAAGCTTCTTTTCAGACACCAAGCTTCTTTTCAGACAGCAAGCTTCTGTATGAACACAAACTTCAGACAATCAATCTTCTATATAAATACGTATTACTATTAAAATACGTTTCTGTTATTACCTGCGTTTATCATATTAAATGATCATCCCATAAAATTTCTATAATGTTAGTTTAATTTATATATTCTGATCGAAATAATTCTGCACTACTTATTTTATCTGTTGCCACACAAAAATGCCCATCACGTATACTTCAGTGTATATATGAAAAGTAAGGGAAAATGATATTTACTTCCACATGTACAGTATCCTACACGCAGTTCATGTTTACACTTGTTTATAATTTGGCACTTGGAATCTTTTATGAGTAATTCATTCCATACTCTATAACAGCATGAATTCAAGGTTAAACATTCCACGGAACATAGAAAATTCAGGTATATATACTACCTATTAGCCGGAATTATCAGCCTGGCGTTCCATACGAAATGTATATCACTAATTTTCTATAACTACGCACATGCTATGTCAGAAATGAAAGTCTCTGTTTGAATTATTATGTTTATTTGTTTGAATTTTTTGTTATGATATCGTTATTAATTCTAAAATGTTAATGCATCACTTATATTTTTTGATATATGATTACCTAATGACTTCTATAAATACTTATTCCTTATTTACAACTGTTTAATAGAAAACCTGCGATCAGGTCAGTCATGTTTTATTAAGCGGTGCAGAAAGCTGTTTACTGATAACCCCCTCCCACAGAACAAGTTTCAAAGAGAAGAATATTCACATATATCATACATTTACTGTTAAAATAAATTAAAAGAAGGGAAGGTATAAAAAGATTGAATCAGAAAAACGAAAGCCCTAGCAACTAACGAATACTTTTTTGTATGCATTATACATTTTGTAATGTGACCGATTGTTTTGTCACATGGTCTTTACTATGTTTCAATTGATAGTAACTTGTAGATCTGGTAATTTCGCCCTTTCACATTGTAAATAAATTGTTAGTAAACCCCCCCCCCAAAAAAAAAAAACAAAAAAAAAAAAAAAAAAAAAAACAATCGGGCATACTTCCTGTTGGGAAACAACGGGATTCCCCCTCGAGGCTTCTCGTTCAGACAGCAAGCGTCAAAATCTTTCCCGATCTGGAAGGTTATATTTCTTTTTTTACGTAGTTCAGAAAAATTTACACACTTCCGATCGGGAAGGATTTTGATGTTTTCTGCCTGATCGTAAAGCTTTGAATGGGGAATTCCGTTGTTTCCCGATCGTGAAGTATGCCTGACTATTTCAGAATCAAAGAATATGTGTATAATTTGGATAGATGTTACACAAATATATGTATTGAATATTTTTCTGTACTCTGATACTTTTAAAATTTTATTGGCAGTTTTGAATAGCAGGCAGTTATGAAACTGAGTTTATGCCTGGGACTACATATAAATTAATGACAACATGTAATTTTTAAACCGGAGCTTTCTTTGTTTCTCATAACAGAACTTGCTGCGGAACCCATCCATATATTTCATCAGCTCATTTTAACAGAAACTGATAAATAATAATAATAATAATAATAATAATGATAATAGTAATAGTAATAATGTTAATAATAATAATAATAATAATAATAAATCATAATAATAATAATAATAATAATACAGACTTTCCTTAAAGAAAGAATATTTCATGTGTATACAAAATAGGAGAGTAAAGTTATTAAAAATGCTTGAAGAAAATGAATATACACATTTAATGTATAAAATTGTACATTTCATGAGGCATTTATGAATAATTATGTGTGATATTATAACAAAGATGCCTTCAAGAGAACCACCATTTTAGATTCTTTGTAAGTTGGTGAAATTTCTTATATTTAAAGTTCGAAGGTTTTGAGCCTGAATATGATAGGGATTTTCTACAGAATTAAATTTTAGGTTTGGAGATAAAAAGAAGTCTGTGTTTATATGACATAAAATTGATTTATATTCTTTGTTAATAAAATGATTTTTAGGATAATGATGGGGGAAAATTGTTAATGGACTTGTAGACTTAAATGCCATTTTGATAATTACTCTTTCATCCTTTTTATTTCAGAAAATAACTCATCAGTGGGAGCTTTGAATGAAAGTTATATATATCCAGGTAGAGAGTATCCGTCCAGAATATAACATTGTATATCTTAGATTTTCATTGTCAATTATATATGAATCAGAAGTGTTTTGTTGCAGAATTAACAACTAGATCACTTGCTGACAGCTAAGAACCATTTACAGACATTTTTCAGCTCAGTAAAATATATGCAGACTCCTTACCAACAGAATTTTATATAAAGCACACAGCTTTAGTAATGATAAAAAATTAATCATTAAATATGTTATATCTTGAACCTTGTAGGACAATATGTGTGCAGTTTAAACTATTTCATGCTAAATATTACAGACCTGTACTACATTCATCACTTCCTCTTTTCTGTTCGAGGTACCTATTTAAAATGAAGAAGAAGACTCCCATGTTTTTCCTGTAATTTAACAGAGTGAATTGAAAGCCGATAACCACCGCAATTATCTTAAAGTTAAACGAATTCATGCAGTCATGTAATTTAAAAAATAAGTAGTAAAAATTCAAAAATATTTGATCAGCTAATGGTCTAAATATAGCTGATTTCGTAATGGGAAACCCGAGTTCTATTTCCATCACAATGGAATAAAATATATTTTAGTTTCGATTTAATCTTAAACATCTTGCATTTTCTTTTTTCTAATTTTGGAAAAGATAATTGGTAAGAACAAATATACAATTAAAAAAATATATAACTGTAAGCCAAATAAATGTTCATTTTCCACGAAATTTTAAATATCAATAGTAAAAATAAAAGTTATTTAAAAGAACTTTAATATCTAGTATAATCTAGATTTTATGTAGGTCAATCATCTTATGTTTACATAAAGCGTAGCGTGGTTTAAATGGTCTATTTTAACTAGTTATAATTTCAAAAAATGTTTAAATTATTGCTACATCGGTTACAATTTTGAATAAACAAATTACGACAGTGTTGTTCTTTTCTGTTTTAATTATTTATTACGTAATGTTCTAAAACTTATGTTTTGTTACATTTTAGTGGGAGATAAAATAATTGAACACTTTCCATCGCCCTCGGTCATGATAGTCAGCAAACCCAAAGATAACGGTAAATCATATTCTTTATTAAAATTTGAAGAATGCCAGAACCCTATCATTGTATTCAAATATCGACCTGTGTCTTACGACGCATTACCCACGCCAAATGAGGGTAAAAATGACTCCGACGTTAAGAAGTCCGCGTAGGGATAAAAATTTTATTTTATAAAACACAATATATCTTTCCAAGTAATTAAAATTGTTTTTTGCTTCCAATGTTGTTTTCAGGAGTTTAATATTGCAAGTGCAATTGATTCTATTTATTCAAATATTCAAAGCTACTTTCACTTTCGGTTTTAAACTAACAACCACATGTGTTGAACGAATCTGGGTTTGTAAAACCAATAAAGGATTGTCAGAAGGTGTATTTGATGCATGTTTTGGGTAAAAATGATGTAAGGGCTATTTTGCCAATAGGGTATGGAAAAAGTTTAATTTTTCAACTGGCCCCATTTGCGTTTTGTTTTATCACTTCCGTGTTCAAAATGCCATGAAAAAAATAGTGCGTTCCCATCATGCTTAGAGGGGTTTCACACAGGTCAGTAAGACCGGTGTACTTCCGTGTTCAAAATGCCATGAAAAAAAATAGTGCGTTCCCATCATGCTTAGAGGGGTTTCACACAGGTCAGTAAGACCGGTGTACACAATGAGAGCCCTGTTTATTAATCAGCGAAAAAAACATACATGTTAATTTAGTGATACAGCACGCCAGTACCTGAATAGACAGAGATTCAAGATACCTGACAAGTAATGATTGTTCATACATTTTCGGAAGACATTGTTCTTGAAAGTGTGATACCAAAGTATTTAAAGTTTACCTGAGTACAACGCACGTAAACTCACCAAATAAAATGCTTGCACACAACATAACAACAATAAACATGTTTTTCATATATTTATTTGCAGATATCTCTTTATTATACAAGAGAAAAACTTTCCTTTTTCAAATTACAGACATGTATCATTATACAGTAACATACACAGACGATACTCAATCTGATGACGATGATGTCGAGGTTATACAGGAAAACATCAGCATAGTATGTCCTTACACTAGATGTGTAATGAAAACGCCTGTAAGAAACAAAATTTGTGGACATACTTTTGATCGAAATGCCATGATTGAATATTTGAAATTGAGTCGTTTTCCAAGGTAACAAAAAAAATTATTACAATATACAAACACTATTTTTCAGTTCATGTTTTACATAAAAATATGTTTATACACACAATGTAAAATAGTTTGAAAATTTTGTCATAATTAATACATTACTATGTATAAAAGTGTAAAATGTTCAACTGAATACATTATCGGCTAAAGGTTCAAATGATAACGATTTAATTTTTCAATAAAGCTGAAAACAATAAAGATACTATACAAAAACAAGAAATCTGACATCATTGAAGAGCAATAGTGATACCAGCATTATACGAGATATACGAGCGTAGTAATACATGCTTATATAAACAAATAAAAGCTTATCGGTCTTCCTACCTAACATCACAATCACGTTGTAATTATTAACATAAAATACACACGTGTGAAAAAAATATTAGCAAACAAATGAAAATTTACAAAAGAAAAAACCCAAAAGCTTTTGAGATATTTATTTCATATATTTTCAGATGTCCAATAGCCGGATGCTCGAATTTGAAACGTCTTGAAGCATCGGATTTCGAAATAAACGAAATGTTGAAGCTGCACATTGACAGGTCAAGAAGATAATTCCAATTTTGGGATATATCACCTGCATGTGAAGAACATTTTGAAAATCACAAAGAGAACATGAACTGCTATCTTCAATTAAGACTGATAGTATGTTTGAAAACAAGCTCTCTTTTAAAGAGAAAGAGCCCACTTTGCAGAACAATAATTTAAATATTACATATTGTTATATGTACTAGTGTTTGTTTGTATGTTTTTATTTTTTATGTTTAAAGTATTTCATTACAAGCATAGTTTTTTTTCTCATAACTGGCTTTTTGATCTATTGCTGCAATGCAAAACTAAACAATGAAATATATACATGCATTTACATTTATGAAATCATGTCATAGTACTTAGATATATTTACAAACATAAATCAGATGAACTTTGGATATAGGTTCAAGCATCAGAGCTATAACAGGAAATCAACAGCTTGGTAAATGCATTTTCGTTTCTAAATGATTGTATATTTTTGTATATTCTGTTTACCAGTCATATTGTCATAATAAAAGTGACATGTTTAAAAGCATGTACGCTAAATTTAAGAAGACAAGGAATTTAAGATTGGAACGAAATACGAAAAAAAAAGCAATTTTTGCAATTTTTTCAACTTTGATTAGCAATAACTACCACAACAGCCCAAGTCTATTAAGGCTATTAATAACTTATGATATTGGAACGCGTAACATATTTACAAAACATATATATTGTACATACAACAGAAGAGAATAATATACATATGCATAGTATAGGTACATTGTTATATAAGAGATACAATAACAAATAAAATTATTTTACAGTTGAAAAATAATGATTTATGGGCGTATATTGTTATCTTAAATGAAAGCGAAAGTTAAGACAATGTTTTAAATCATTCATTTTAAACATGAACATTACTATATTCATCCTAGGTGACAAAAATAATATAAGCTACTGAGTCTCGTACCAATAACTGAATCCTAATCGAAAAACGAAAAATTAAGAGAAAGCGAAGGTACAGTCTTTGTGTTCATGCTTTATAAATGATTATCAATAGACGGATGTCATTAGAATTATTCCTAAATAAATCAATGATCTTAATTATTTAAAAAAAACACATTAAGCATGTAAATAAAAATAACTATACAGTATATGTCTGAGAAACATACTACATATACTAAAAAGCGATAACGTTGCCTGCTACTTTTTTAACGTGAAGATAAAAGCTTTGCAAGCGCGATAGCAATATGAGAGTTGACAATTACACTATCAATAAGTTTACATGAGATATGTAAAAACATTTTACATTGATATATGTAGTCATAGCAAATAAATGTGCTGTATTGGTCAAAACCTAAATTTGCTATAATAGCGTTTCAGAAGGCACATCTTTCAGTCTTCTCCAAATCCCTCCAGAGGCGTGCACGTCGCGGAGAAGGCACACGGCAGGTCAAGGTCAAGTCATCTTAAGTACCAGAGGTGATTGGTTGACCTGTCGTGACTAACTCTGGAGGGTGGCGCTAACAAGAGCCGTTTTATGTCAACCGCCTGTTTGCAGCCGTCACGGAACTTGATGCTTTTCCGGTATTGTCTTGCCTCCACCGAACGAAGTACAGGACTTAGGAAGATCGGCATGAAAAAGACGTCCCCGATGAGACTACTAGAGTGGACCGGCATGGACGCTGAGATCTCGGACATATGGAATTTCCGGCGCCGAGCTATAATAAACTTAAAACAACAACAACAACATCTTTCAGTCTCTTTCCTGTGACAAATACACATAAGATGTTCTGTAATGTCATTCGTAAGAGGATTGCAAATGCTATATCGGCGCACATATGAAGAACACATCCTGTATCCAACTGCCCTGGCAAGTGTTTCAGCAACCAATTTTAAACCCGAATATTGTCGAATAATAACCATGAAAGGCGAAATCTTAGAAAGATGAAGTAGAAATGTTAATGACTTGTAACTTGTTGGCTCACTTGTGGCGTTAAAGTTTCTAAGAATAAATCTTTTGTTGATTCATTGATTACCATCATCTTTAAAATCTTCTTCCATTTTAATTTAGATGAAAACACACCGGCATCAATAAAAGAATAAATGACGTTTTACAGATCATATTTCTGCAGTAATCTAGATATGTTTGGATTAAATCAATGTTTCTGTCTATCCACATTCACATATCTAATCAATCTATTAACAAGTATCTGTTAAGCATGATATTTTGATTGCAATCGGCATAATTGACAAAATAATTTATCAAAGTAAGTATGTTTGGTATATTCAACATACATAATGCACTAGATATATGAAAAGTTTGTATAAATTTTACACAGTACTGTGCTAATTCTAAATTTGATATGTCTTTATCCAGTTTTCACAACCATATAGCGCTTTAGGTACAACAACTGTCATGTACATTTTATAAAAATATATACTGTAAAGGTAAGCCAAAAGTTAAAACTTGATATTATTCCACTAAATCAATTGTAAAAACTACCACAACAACCTAGGTCTATTTCGTCTATCAATAACTCTATACTATAAGTAGCTGTGCATACAAATGTTCACCCCTCTATCGTGATTAACTGTTAGAAAAACAAAATATCCTTACATTACTAAATAGACTATAAAGCAAATTTCAATCCTGTTTTATATAATGTTGTTGTGTCATAATTGTATCATAATTGTATATGTTTGCATTTTATGAAGAAAATACTGTTTAAACCAAACAAATTACATTTTTATGCATCCATGCTATATCTCAAATAAACAAATAAATAAATAAATAAATAAATAAATTCATAACCCTTCTTGCACTTTAGGCAAATGATATATTTTAGCTTTTA